AGAAAATACAAAAAGTATGTTGAATTTAATATTTTGCTAGGTACTTTATTTTCTTGTTTAATTTTTATGTCACCTTGAACTTTGTGAAATCAGGTCTTACTTAAATAACGTTGAGGTAAAAAAACTAAGCAACAGGATTCCGCCAGTTTGACGTGAAAATGGTTTCAACCATACTTAGAATAAGTGATGGTTTTGCGTGTTTCGTTCCTGTTTATCCAATAAAAACACGGACGTATCGGACACGTGAAAACGAACGAAACACCGTCACATGCCGCCGCTCACGTGGTGCTTTTTATCGCCGCGACTTGAACCGACCTCATAAACGTTATTATTATCGTTCAACCTTTATCAATTTTTACAATGTAACAGATTCTTCAGTAACATGTAAAGAAATTCAATAGGTGGAATAAAAAATATAGCCATTGTGCACTTTATAATGGATTAAGAAACATCAAAACATTTGACGGCTCTGTGGCGCAGTAGCTTAGCAATGAGCTACGACATTGAGAGCTGCGGATTCTAATCCCGCACGAAACAAGTATTTGTATGGCCTACAAGTAATTTTTTCGTTTTTGTCCGTATCCTTATGCAATCTATGTATGTAAATTGTCTCCACGGTACAGGAGAAAATCCTGGTGTGTGGGTAAAGTTTTCTTTTTAAAATAATTTATTGCAAAACTTGCAGGTCTGAGGCCCGCGTCGTATGTATGTGTTGCACAACTCTACCACTCTACTTTTTAGTTAAAAAAAAACTGGTTTAATAGGTAATAAGTAGGTACTTGATTATTAGTGATAGGCTCTCTATAAATCAGGGTGTCCCAACCTTTTTTTGACCAAGGACCACTTTGATTTTTCTGCCGACTACCAAAAAGGAGACGGTACTCAATTCGATTGTATGTTTTTTTTATGTGTGTTACCTCATAACTTTTATTGGGTGAACCGATTTCGATAACTCTTTTTTTATTTGAAAGCTGGTACTTCTCGTGTGGTCCCATATGATCAAGATCGGACCAATAGTATTTGAGTTATTCTTAATAACTTATATTGAAGTTGGCTGTACAAATTTTTTAATTTTAAATTATTTTTTCGTAGTTAGCAAGGACCACAACTAATTTATTAATAAATTATAATCTCAACACAACACAGTGCCGTGTAGTGGCGGTCAAGAATATCCACTACCCCATATCCTCCCGTGGGTGTCGTAAAAGGCGACAAAGGGAAACAGGCAGAAGATGGGCAGCAGCATCTTCCTGATAATAGCCAAAATTATAATAAAAAACTGCGGTTGCCAACCCGCTCGCCAAGCGTGGCAACTATGGCAAATACCCCCCAATGACTAAAGCAACAAACAGACGGCCCCCAGTCCCCGGCGACCCCGCTATTCCTGGCTACGGTGGCGACCATGGTAACGGCGGGGCAGGGGGTGCTAAGAATCTCCGGTGGAGGTTCGGTTGCCACCTTAGACGACTCGACCTGGCAACGTACAACGCACGCACCCTGAGGACTGACGAGAAGATCGTGGAGCTGGAAGAAGAGATAGACAAGTTGCGCTGGCATATTATAGGATTATCCGAAGTCCGAAGAGAGGGGGAGGACACGGTAATCCTCGAATCCGGCAACTTGCTCTATCACCGGGAGGGCGACCATCTGTCCCAAGGAGGTGTCGGATTTATCGTCCACAAGTCTCTCGTTAACAACGTTGTAAAGATCGGGAGTGTGTCGACGAGGGTTGCGTACCTTATACTCAGAATCACCAAACGGTATTCGCTGAAGGTCATACAGGTTTACGCACCAACCTCGGCACACCCCGATCAGGAGGTGGAGGAAATGTATGAGGATATCTCTAGAGCCATGCATTCCTCCAAAACCCAATATACGGTGTTAATGGGAGACTTCAATGCAAAACTAGGCACAAGAGAGAACGGTGAGCTGAAAGTAGGGAAATTTGGAATAGGGCAACGGAACCCAAGGGGCCAGCAGCTGGCCGACTTCATGGAGAAAGAGGGACTCTTTATGATGAACTCTTTCTTCCAGAAGCGGCCCCACAGGAAGTGGACCTGGTCGAGCCCCGACGGTTCGACAAAAAATGAGATTGACTTCATTATGACGACCAGACGACAACTGTTCAGTGATGTCTCCGTGATCGCAAGGGTGAAAACTGGTAGCGATCACCGAATGGTTAGAGGCACACTGAACCTAAACGTTAAGTTGGAGAGGTCTCGTCTAATGAAGTCAACGCTCCGTCCCCCTCGTGCTCTAATCCAAAGTCCCGAAACCTTTCAGCTCGAGTTACAAAACCGTTTTCAGTGCCTAGAAGACTGCAATGAAGTGGACGATATGAATGACAAGCTCGTGGAAACTGTCCATGCGGTCGGAGCTAAGTTCTGCAAGACCCGCCGCAGAAGAACACAAAAACTCTCCGATCACACTCTTAATCTCATGGCTGTTAGACGGGAGATGAAGCTACATTCTTCAACAGACTTGACAGCATACAGGCATCTGAACAGACAGATCTCAAAATGCATGCGGCGGGACTTACGCAACTTCAATACAGCTCGTATTGAAGAAGCGATCGAGCGGAACCAAGGCTCCAAAGTCTTTGCCAGAGATCTGTCTGCCAGAAAGAGCCAACTGTCAAAGCTGAAGACAGAATGTGGCAGCATCGTTTCCGGGACACCTGAGATTTTGAGTGAGATTGAGAGGTTCTATGGGCAGCTGTACACGTCATCGTTGGAGCCACACGCAAGTGTGAGTAACGATCCAAGAGCGAGTCTCATCCGACACTATTCCGAAGATATCCCGGACGTCAGTCTGAGCGAGATTAGAATGGCTCTCCAGCACCTTAAAAACGGTAAGGCCCCAGGCGAGGATGGAATTACAGCGGAGCTTCTGAAAGCGGGTGGAAGACCGGTACTTGAAGTCCTTCAGAAGCTCTTTAATTCCGTCCTCCATGGTGGCATTACACCGGAGGCGTGGAGCAGAAGTGCGGTGGTCTTGTTCTTCAAGAAAGGTGACAACGCTCTCTTGAAGAACTACAGACCGATTTCCCTTCTGAGCCGCGTCTACGTGCTGTTTTCGAGAGTCATTACGAATCGTCTCGCGCGCAGACTTGACGACTTCCAGCCTCCCGAACAAGCCGGTTTCCGAAAGGGCTTTAGCACCATAGACCACATACATACCCTTCGGCAAGTTGTACAGAAGTCCGAAGAGTACAATTTGCCACTATGTCTGGCGTATGTGGACTATGAGAAAGCCTTTGATTCCGTCGAAATTTGGGCGGTGCTGCAGTCCCTTCAACGGTGCCAAGTTGACTGTCGGTATATCGAAGTGTTGAAGTGCTTGTACAGTAGGGCTACGATGGCTATCCGAGTACAGAACCAGAGTACGAAACCTATCCAATTGCAGAGAGGTGTAAGACAGGGTGACGTCATATCCCCGAAACTCTTCACCGCTGCATTGGAAGACGTTTTCAAGCTTCTGGACTGGAAAGGGTACGGTATCAACATCAATAGCGAGTACATCACTCACCTTCGATTTGCCGACGATATAGTCCTTATGGCAGAATCGCTGGAGGGCCTAAGCACTATGCTCAATGACCTCAATAGTGTTTCCCAACGGATAGGTCTTAAGATGAACATGGACAAAACAAAGATTATGTTTAATGTCCATGTCACACCTATGCCGGTAGTTGTTGGGAGCACTAAGCTCGAAGTTGTTGACGAGTATGTTTACCTGGGACAAATAGTCCGACTAGGTAAGTCCAACTTCGACCGAGAGGTCAATCGACGGATTCAACTCGGCTGGGCAGCGTTCGGGAAGCTACGACACATCTTCTCGTCAGACATACCTCAAAACCTTAAAACGAAATTGTACAACCAGTGCGTGTTGCCAGTGATGACTTACGGAACTGAGACGTGGTCCTTCACTGCTGGCCGTATGAGGAAGCTCAAGGTCGCTCAGCGAGCTATGGAGAGGGCTATGCTCGGAGTTTCTCTGCGTGATAAACTTAGGAATGAGGATATCCGCAGTAGAACCAGAATAACCGACATAGCCCAACGAATTAGTAAGCTGAAGTGGCAGTGGGCCGGCCATATAGCTCGAAGAACCGACAACCGATGGGGAAGAAAGGTTCTCGAGTGGCAGCCTCGTACCGGTAGGCGAAGTGTAGGGCGTCCCCCCACGAGATGGAGTGACGACCTGGTAAGACATGCAGGAAGTCGATGGATGCAGGTGGCTCAGGACCGTGCTTTGTGGCATTCTTTGGGGGAGGCCTATGTTCAGCAGTGGACTTGTGAAGGGCTGTAATGATGATGATGAATCACAACTTTTAACATAATTATATAATAAATTGAAAAGCAGCATTATTTATCAGTATTATTTGTGTATTTATTGTAAAAGGTTGTAGGTACTTACTAATGTGACACGCTGTCTTACACATAATATGGCGCGGTGTTGCACTGCCCGCGTGACGAGAAAATAATAAATGTGTTATTTAAAACAATAATTAGGTACATAGGTGAAATATTTAAATCTTTCGCAGACCATATTTAAGCTCTTAAACACACCAGCATTAAGCTGCTATTTTATGCTGGTATTCTGTGAGATCGTGGTCCTTCCCCGGTCGTACCGACTCATTCGTGCTACAGCTATACTTACTATTAATATAACTGTAGCATGGCTCTACCACGTATAAATAACATTACTAAATACAATGCAATTTTTTTAATAGAATGAGAATGACAAACAAGCACACAGTCCTACATTTATCCTCGATTCAGAATAATGCGTTGTCACCCTTGAGGACTACGATGGCATGCTTCGTATCCAGTAAAAAGGGTCTCCGATTCACTACACTCACGATACGAAACACAGCAGTATTAAGCTGCTATTTTACGCAGGTATTCTGTGAGAGCGTCGTCCTACCCTTGGCTACACAGCTGCAGCTTGGCTCTACCATATATTAAAATATACTTAAAATGTTACGTAAATATTTGTTTCAGCTACAATTCGAACGATGGTTTCGGAAGGACTGCAGGCGAGCAGCTTAACTTCACCGCGCCGTCCGAAGACGAGACAGAGTACCCGTCAGGCGCCTACTTGAAGAAGGGGAAGGTCTCGAGGGCAAGTCACACTGAATATGCCCGATTTATATCTCTCTTATTAAATGTTATTTTATAATATACACTATAGATACATCATCATAATTATTTCAACCCATCACTAGTCTACTGCTGAATATATGGCTCCACTAAAGAATACCGTAGAGTACGGTCCTGAGCAACCTGCATCCGTTGAGTGGGGGCCACCCTACACTTCTTCAGTACACCAGATGGTAAGAGGCTACTGCAGTTCATGGACATCTGCAGTCAACTTCAAACAAAGAAGGCTGCAGGTGTGTTGTCACCTCTGTGTGTGCAGTGCAAAGCACTGCTATTTACACACAAACAGAAACACTCACGCCTGGGGTAGGCAGAGACTACGGACCACTTCCATCAGGCACCATCTTGACACATCTTTATCGCCTCCTTTACATCCATATATCTACGCATACACGCTCGTCGGTTAAAGGTACTCAATCTAGCCCATTTTCAATATATCGCCAATTTGGTCGATAAACCTTCGTCTAGGGCGTCCCTTCCCGACTTTGCCGTTCACATCTGCAACATAAATTTTATTTGTCACTCTTTCCTCGTTCATTCTTTCTACATGACCAAACCGCCGAAGCATTCCTTTCTTAATCACTGCTATTTGGCGGCAGAAACAGTAAAGACGGTCACTCGAGAACATTTATTTCCCATCGGTTTGCCACTTTTTTTTTAGTTTTGTTTATTTATTTATGTTTTAAAGTTGATTTGTATTTTGAAGCAATGTAAATGACAGTGTTTAAAAAGTTTTACCGAAATCGTAATAGTTTAATGCGAAGTCACACGGAGCGTATTGGAATGATTTTGGTTTCGCCATTTTTTGGCCTAGACGCTAAATACACTGTAGGGCTAGACAAAACGCTGTATATAGCACTGGAAGTATTAAGTGCAACTAGTATTGCTGCTTCAGCGTTATACTTCGCCGAGTACCGAAGCTCACTGATTTCTAGGTTTAATGTACGTATAAAACAAAGAAAAATAACACATTGTTACATAGGAGATTACATTGGTGACATAGGAGAATCTATCACTCCGCCTTGTCCCATGGGAATTGAAAGAGGCGTTTTTGGCAAATCCCAGTAACACTCCGTGGCTTCTAATATATGGCATACATTTTATATACAAGATGTAAATAAAAGTCATACCCGGGCAGGTAACGGATTGCAACGCCTAAGGTACGTAATATAATGATGCTATCATCAATACGCCTGCCAGGCGATGCCGACGACGTGGTGACTTTAGAAAAGGTTTATATCCAGCAGTCAACTATTTTCATTGAACAGTGGTTATGCTACATTGACACTTAATGCAAACTCGTACTTGAGAAGCTTCAATCAACAAATGTAAATAATTAATTATCTACTGACCACATAAATACAATAATAATACAAGAAATGTAAATAATAAATTGTCTACTAAAGATATGTATGTTTAAAACTTTCCCATCGTATTGGACTTCATCTTGTGTTAATCAAATTGAACTTGGATTTAGTTATTATTTTTTATAGATATAGGTTCAAGAACATACAGTTCAATCAATGGTACATTTTACATTTATATTCTCGATTAAAAATCAAAGTGCAGATTCGTTTTTATCCATGAGTAATAAAATAGAATGCTTAGTTAACAAAAGGTTCTTCAGTACTCGCCACTTATTATATAAAACACAGCCGATGGTTCTGTTTTAAGCTGGTATACTGTGAGAGCGTAATCCTTCCCCCATTTAGCCAACTCATTATTGCTGAGTCAAATTATAGTTACAGCGTAATGTACTATCAAAACTTTTCCATAAATAGTAAACCGTTACATTACACTGTTGACAACTCTTCAGTAGGTGTAATAAATTTAGTTGAATATTATAATTTTTGTTACATATCATAGTAGCTAATGAAAGCAAACATATTAATCTATCTTACATTTACAGCAAGACCCAATGTCCCACCGGATAATAGAGAAGAGACGCCGAGACCGGATGAATAATTGCCTAGCGGACCTCTCTCGCCTTATTCCGCCAGAGTATCTGAAGAAAGGCCGCGGAAGAGTGGAGAAAACCGAGATCATAGAAATGGCTATACGACATCTAAAGTACTTGCAGGAGCGAATCAATGGTTTGTAAGACCCAGTTCTTTTACGAAGTTTAATTCTTCTCTCTATTTGATTATTTCGATTTCGGTGCGGTCACATTTTTTTCGTTAATATTAAACACAGTAATCAATAGTCTCCAAACTATTGTTTTCATTATAACGCCCATGAGATCGGAGGTAGGTGTGCATTTGTAAAATAAACGAATGATCATAGATTACAATGCATCCAAACAAAGCCAACAGATTTGAATTTAGTAAGTAATTAATTTTGATCTTATCTGAATCCCGGCATCTGTCACCAAGATTTCGCTAGCTTGTCGTGAAGCGACAATTAAAAATAAAAGAATCTAACCTAACAGCAACAAAACAACAAAAATACAACAAAAACAAATAATATATTTAAGATTTAAAAGATATTTACAATTTTATATAGTAAAATGGGGTATGAAGATGAGGATGGATGTCGTGATTTACAAATTTAAAAAAAAAGGTAATAAAAAAAAAGGATTAGAGTCGAAGTAGAGTCTGAAGATCCAAAGTGTGCTCTCAGCGCCTGGAACGAGCGCGCACGGCGTAGGTGAGAAGGCGTGGGCGTCTCTAGGCGACGACCTCAGGTGAATGCGGTGATTGCAGGATCCGGCGATTTCAGGCCAGACAGGGGCTTGCAGGATCCTCAGCGACTTCAGACAGGTCAGAGGCCTGCAGGATACGGTGACTTCAGGCGGGACAGAGGTTTGCAGGTTCCGGTGACTTCAGGCGGGACAGAGGTTTGCAGGTTCCGGCGACGCCAGGCAGAGCAGAGACTTGTAGGATCCCGGCGACTTCAGGCAGAGCAAAGGCTTGTAGGATCCCGGCGACTTCAGGCAGAGCACAGGCTTGTAGGATCCGGCGACTTCAGGTAGAGCAGAGGTTCGTAGAGTCCAGTGGCTTCAGGCAGGACAGAGGCTTGCAGGATCCCGGGGCAGTGCGGCCCCGGGATAAGGCCTTTAGGAGATGCTTCGAACTCGAGAACTGAAGCGAGACTGAATTTCTTCACCGATTGTTCGGCTTTTATACCTTTCTAGAGAGAACGGAAAAATTATTTAAATTAAACGCAAATTTTTTGTAAATGGTCAAGAGGAAAGAGTATTTATGTAGAATTATCGAAATAGAAACAACAGACCGGTAGCAAATTTGAATATAATTGTCATAGCGACCAAATAAACAACGATGTCAAAACATGTCAAATTTTGGTTTTAGGCTTGTAATAGAAAAACGGCAAGATTTAAGTGAAAAATGAGATATTATTGATATAGGAAAAAAGGTAGCGCAACTGCGCGCACAAAGTCCGAAATTGCAGAGTTACGGAAAACTAAATAAAAGGTCGAAAAAGGTAGACTCCATTGACACCAATTTAAAAGTGCTGATAATGTGAAAATACGAAGTAGAAATGATTTGTTATTGTGTTCTTATGGTTTAAAATCGTTACAGGATCCTATGGAAATAAAGGTGATGTAAAATATCCAGTTTTGAGGTGAATGCAGAAAATCGAAACAGAATGGAAAAATGAATTTAAAATAATGTAAAATGATATGTAAGTAACATAACACTACAAGCTGCAAGATAAATTATTATTTAACATTAATATTATAGGCTGGTATATATATTTATATGTTGGCTATCTATATTGACTGCCTCGTTGGTCTAGTGATTGTAGTAGTGCGCCTGCTGATCATGAGGTCCCGGGTTCGAATCCCGAGTCGGGCCAAAAAATCAGTTATTGAGTTTTTCTATCAAGAAATTCTCATTAGCTGCCCGGAGTCAGGAAGTTGGCGGTGTCTCACCCCCGTGCCTCGGAAAACACGTTAAGCCGTTGGTCCTGCGCCTGATTTCTCTCCGGTCGTGTCGGTTTACCGTCCCATTAGACTATGAGAGTGAGGGAATAGAGAGTGCACCTGTGATTGCGCATACACTTGGGCACTATAATCCTGTCCTGCGCAGATGGCTAGTCTCCGTTGAGGCTGGCCGCCGTGACCGAAATTCGGTCTGGAGGACATTATTATTATTATTATATATCTATATCAATAAATCACGCACAACCCAGTTTACTTGTAATACATGATACTCCTACTCCGACGGTGAATATCTAGGATTTTAACAACAAGTATTGATGAAAGAATAAATTGAAGAAACTTATAATCATGGAGGAAGGATAGCAAAACTGATATTAAAAATATTCAGAATGTACCGGTTATTTCTTTTTATTATCTTAAATGATTATTACTTACAAAAGTCTCCCTTTGGTCTTAGTAAAGCACCTTGTATTTTCCAAACTCTCAAATAAATTTTCAATCAATAACCCTTAATTGCATACACAAAACACGATTTTTGTATATAATTAAAATACCTTGAAACATATTGTGAATCATTACAGCGAGCGAAAAGCAGGCGGGGGAAGAACGTTTCCGCGCCGGTTATCAAGAAGCAGTGGGAGAAGCGCTACGGTACCTGGCAGAAACTCATGGCTTTCCCGCCGACGGCATTTGCGCACAGCTCGCCTCTCACCTTAAGAGGCATTGCGAGATTATCACAAAAGGTTAGTAAACGTTTCGAAGATATTTTTATATAATTTTAGCTGCTACCCGGCGCGTTGCTGCTGCACAAGAAATAATTACGAAAATATAATTTGAATATTGTTTAATTGGGAATGACACATTGAATTGTGAATTTCAACTTTCAATTCAATTCAACATCAATGAAACATTAATTGACGTTGAATGATATATTATAACGTTCAAATAAATTTATCGGTACGACAGGTGCGCCACCTACTGTAAGTTAATTGTACTATACCTATAACATTCGCGGAAGTGCAAGCAATAAGATGACAAAGTTTTAGCGCAATCTGATGAACGGTATGGCAACGCATAAAATACGAACAAACAAAAATTAATTTTTATATATTAAATATGAGACAATAATTTATGAGCATAGATGTTATGGAACAAAATAGCTGTTGTTTTTGATAATTTCATACTATCTATTTCTACGATAGGTATACACTTTTGTGTAAGCAGTCATTTTGTTGTCATTTGAAATATTAGGTTAGGTATTCGTATACAAATTTTGGGATGCACCACTCGTACGCGGTAAATTATTATATATTTTCGAAACTAAACTGATCGTAATTATATAAATGTCAGTCTCGTTATTATTTACAAGCAGTAACAAACCCATATAATATAAACGACATAACTTCTCAGGCGAAGCGCCCCGGCACAATAGTCGATCGTTTGGCTCATCGTCAGAAACCGCCAGTTCATCCAGTAGTTCGCTGAGCTACACGGTGAAGCCGGGTGTCATCCAACCGCCACCGGGTCCGCACGCCTACCCACCCGATCACTACGAGCCGGCGCCAGACCAGGCGTACCCTTTGGAATGTAATCGAGGTATGGAGTCCAGAAAAGTATTGTCGTTTCAACTAAAAATCTATTCTTATTTTTACAATACATTACCCCTACAACACTAGGATGGCATTTGCTAAATGTACTTTAAAGTAAAAAATTATGAATATTAAAAATAAAGTAAAAAAATTCTTCCTTTGTTTTAAACAAACGAGCACACACAACAAACACCACCTGATGGTAAGTGGATACTGTGGCCCATAGACATCTACATCTATCCTCTATAAAGAATCACTATGCAGATGCGTTGTCACCCCTGAGGACTAAGATAGAATGCCTCATTTCCAGTAAAAAGGGTTTTCGTTTCTCTACACTCACCATACGAAACTGTGTATGTGTGTGTGTGTATTATGTGAGAGCGTGGATTTCCCCGGTCCAGCTGACCCATTCGCGCTACAGTCATAATATAGCTGCGGCATGGCACTACCTGGCACAATAACATAATTTACTACAATAATTTCTGCATCATCATCAGCCAGTAAAGGTCAACTGCTGTACATGGGCCTCCTGTTTTAGGGAGAATTTGCTTTAACCGTTATCTTTAGTAGACGGATTAACGATCGCAGTACCAATCGAAGATTCGCCCCTTTGATGTTGCTCCCCATCGCCAGCATTTGCCGTGTAGCATAAACGGGAAGTAGAGCTGACGGCTTCGTGGCGCAGTGACTTAGCAATGAGTTGCTGCGCTGAGGGCAGCGGGTTCGAATCCCGCACGGAACAAGTATTTGTATGACATACAAATAATTGTTCCGGGTCTGGATGTTTGTCCTTGTGCAATTTGTGTTTGTAAACTGCCTCCACGATACAGGAGAAAATCCTAGTGTGGAGGTAACGTTTTTTTTAAAAGAAAAGAAAAAGAGCTACGTGATGGCGGGAATCCATCATCCCGTTTCATCACGTGATTTGCGTAAGCTCAGAAACAGAGTTCTTATGGCTTCTGACAGATTGCTTTATGATCATCTCTGTATCCAGACCGGTGACTAGGAGTAGCGTAACAGTTGCAAGACCGGTACTGAGTACGGTACCGGTCTTGCAACTGTAATTAACATCAACAGTAGTTGAGTTCGGTGATTGACACTCCGCTTGTCTAGCGTGACGATTATTTTCTCTTTCTACAATGGGAGTGACCCATCAGCGGATATTTACGGTCAGATAATGACGGTCTAAAACAATTTTGAAACAATGAATTATAGTGGCGTATGTACGAGTAATGTGTTTTTTTATATAGGATAGGGTGACAACACAGTCCACCTGATGGTAAGTGGTTACTGTGACCCATAGACATCTACATCTATCCTCAATAAAGACTCAAGATGCAGATGCGTTGTCACCCGTGAGGACTAAGATGGAATGCCTCTTTGCCAGTAAAAGGGATCTTGTTTATATTTCAACTTTATTATCATAAGGTTGCCACTGAAAATCAGGGTTAGGATGATTACACATCTTAGTATATCCTGAAGGGTAGGTCTATTCGTAACATTTCACATCAAACAAGTTTGCAAGGCTGCCTATTCGCTTTTTTTATTTATTTTGTACCTATCTACATTTTTTCTTAACGATTTATTTTGCCTTCCTTAGTGTATTATTTAAGTTTAATTATAAGCTTATATAATGTTATATTAAGTTGCTAGTGTCCTCCGAAATTTGTTAAGAAATGGCCAAATAAATATCTCGCTCTCTGATAAAACTTATGTCATGGTAAAAGCCGCGAACCACGACTGACGCCCGAATCCCAACTGGCATTGACCATTGAGTAACTTGAAGATGTTTGGTGTTCAGTGGCGGCAGCGCAGCGAGTGTCCGGGGGTGTGTCGGTGGGGATGTGTGCGGGGGCGGGGACGGGAGTGGGGGCGGATGCGGGCGAGGGCGAGGGGGAGGGGGAGCTGCCGGACGCGCACCATAAGCGCGAGCGCGACGCGGCGCTCCGCAAGCTGCACAAACCCGACCAGGATGACTACTTGCACTCCTACAAATTCAAGAACTCCATCGAGAGGCGGTTCTCCAGGTCGCAGGACACGGAGGCAAGTACACTCGTTGTAGAGTATGTGGGATTAGAACACAGCACAAATCACATTTTAACCTTGACTTATACTCTCACATTCAGTTTGTTCACACTATCAAACATTCTTGCTTTCATTCATTTCCGTTTGGTCCGTTCCATGTAGAGTTACCATATCTCAGGATTGGTCCTGAGATTTCAGGATTTTTACTCTTCTCAGGATCTCTTCTCATGAAATCTCAGGATTTTTAGAACTTTGAATATAATACAGTTTACATATTAAATATCTCTTTAATAAAAAGTTAAACAAACTAAAAATAACTTTCCTTTGGTAATAATTCCACAAATAAAATCATAACTTATTTATCCAAGTAGGTACTTAAACAGTTTTATCATACTTAATATGTGAAGATACCTTTTTAAGTAAGGTTTTCTTCTCAAACTGTAAAAAAATCTCAGGATTTTTAAATGGAAATCAGGCATCTTCTCCGGACTTTTAATTTTTTCATCTGGTAACCCTAGTTCCATGTATTCTTTCATAAGTATAATAGAATTTGTAATAGTTTTTTTTTCTGCCGACTTTCAAAAAGGAGACGGTACTCAATTCGACTGTATGTTTTTTTTTATGTGTGTTACCTCATAACTTTGTACTGGGTGAACCGATTTCGATGATTCTTTTTTTATATGAAAGCTGATAGTTCTCGTGGGACCATCATATGAATTTTATCAAGGTCAGACCAATGGTTATTGAGTTATTCTTAAATAACTTATATTGAAGTCGCTTATATTGAAGTCGGCTGTACAACATTTTAAATTTTAAATTGAAGTGACATACGAACTTGCAGTCCACCTAATGGTAAGTGACTACTTGAGCTAGCCAGGTTACTTGCAACCAACTTCAAACAAAGAAACACTGAAATGTAATGCCTCACACAGCCTCTAATTATACTGGCTCTCTGTACTCTGCATAACGAACACCGCGCACACTTGACGGCAGATATAACTAAGGGGTATACCTACCTACTAAGGCCCCCTCCTTAGTAGAAAAAGAGCACCTACAAAGAACACCTAAATACACCTACTTATAACTTTATAACTTTGTTTTAATTATTTAACACATAAAATAAATTTAGGCCGCACAAAAAATTACTCATGTGTCATGAAGCCGCTTTGCGAACTTAGAAAACGGGATCGGAACAATTATTTGGGGCTCATACATACTTTTGAACAGTGATGGAATCGAATCCGAGACTTGCAACAACTAAAAGCTAAAACATTGCGCTACCGAGACAAAAATATTATTATCAGCCTGTAGAAGTCCATTGCTGTACATGGCTCTCTCGTTGGAGGAAGGAGTTGCCTTCATCGTCGTGTTTTGTAGGCGGAAAAATTATCACATTAACTAACGTTTACGTTTTACCGCCATATATAACATATATTGGAAGCTATTAGGTGTTTCTAATATCTTAGGATATCCACTGTGTAGTGGCGGTGTAAGAATATCCACTACCCCATATCGTCCCGTGGGTATCGTAGGAGGCGACAGCGGGAAATTATAACAGAAGATGGGATCTTTTTGAAAAAATTCAACATAATAAAAAACTGCGGCTCCTAAACCGCCTGCCAAGCGTGGCAATTATGGCAAAATTCTTCCGATGACACAGTTTATGGGTGAGGCCTATGTTCAGCAGTGGACTTTTATAGGCTACAATGGATAGATGAATGGATGAGGACATCGACGGGACAAAATTGGTTAATGGATTTTTTTAAATATTGAATAAGTCCACCTGATGGTAAGTGGATGTTGTGGTCTATAGACATCTACATCTATCCTTGATACTTCTTAAACCAGTGGAAATGCGGATTTGAGTCCTCTACTTTTTAGCTTCACGTTTTGTTATAGTTCCATTTTGTACTACGCTAGCGTAATTTCATTGACAATTGTACAATGAATGTGAAAAGTAAAGATGATACAATGAAGCAGGCGGCAGAGTCGCAGGTGCGCGCGCCGCACGGCAGGCTGTACTCGCACAAGCGGCGCCGCGCCGCGCGCCCCGCCCTCTCCACCTCCGCCTCCACAGAGGATGCGCAAGATACTTCGCCGCAGGTACACACACACATACACGCACACCCGCACACTGCATTGTTGTTGTACGCACACGACACATTGCCACAGATACTCACGCATACACACACACACGCACATGTACCGTACGCTGCATGTTGTCATTGCACGCACAGTATATATCGCCACAGATACACACGCATATGCACACGCACACGACACATTGCCGCAGGTACGCACATACTCGCACACACACACACACACACACACACACACACGCACGCACACACACACGCGCACACACACACACACACACACATGCGCGCGCGCACACACACACACACATGCACGTACGCATGCCCGCACGCACGCACGCACGCACGCGCTTTTAGTTCTACACTCCGTGCATAATAGCACAACAATACACCTTCTATTTTTACAACACCTACGCACCGTATCTGCCTATTCACTCTGCACGCTGTAACAGTTTCTTCTCTCTACGTTATCAGCCGTAAATGCACTGCTGGACATGCGCCACGCTTCGCGAGTACATGGACGATCTCAGCATTAGACGTCTTGACCATTTTACACTGCTCCTCGTCACAGGTTTTTCTCGTCGGAAGCCTAGTAATCTTTATGGCATTTCCCACAGTCGTGTCCTCTACACCCTTGCGATACAATGGGTGATGAATTTTCTTACGGCTCTCGTTTATTAATGGTTATATTTCATTGTTATATAAATCCATCGTCTGTAGGTGTCTTCACGACAAAAGTAGGTCAATAGGTTTTTGTTAAGATAACCATAGCATCATAACCATCTTCGGCTGCATCACCACCTACCATTAAGTGGGATAGTAGTCAAGCACTGGCTTATAATAGTTAAATTAAAAAATAAATTAATCAATATAGAAATGTAAATTAATGATAACATATTATTGCAACCGCATTACAGACCACTACTCATGATATGGAAACTTACGTAAGTTGGTTTATTCGCAGGACACGTCAAGCGATTCACCCCACCACCATCAATACGACCAGTATGAAAAACCTACGCCCACGCAGTACGTTCCAGTTTTCGCGCTTAACGCACTTGGTTAGTATCTTGTGGTCACAAATACATATACAAAATTCTTCAAATATGTGATGAAATTAAATAATATATCATCATCATCATCATCATCATCATTACAGCCTTTCACAAGTCCACTGCTGAACATAGGCCTCCCCCAAGGAATGCCACAAAGCACGGTTCTGAGCCACCTGCATCCATCGACTTCCTGCATACCAGGTCATCACTCCATCTAGTGGGGGGTCGCCCTACACTTCGCCTACCGGTACGAGGCCGCCACTCGAGAACCTTTCTTCCCCATCGGTTGTCGGTTCTCCGAGCTATATAGCCGGCACACTGCCACTTCAGCTTACTAATCCGTTGGGCTATGTCGGTTACTTTGGTTCTACTGCGGATATACTCATTTCTAAGTTTATCACTCAGAGAAACCCCGAGCATAGCCCTCTCCATAGCTCGCTCAGCGACATTGAGCTTCCTCATACGGCCAGCAATGAAGGACCACGTCTCAGATCCGTAAGTCATCACTGGCAACACGCACTGGTTGTACAATTTCGTTTACAGGTTTTAAGGTATGTCTGACGAGAAGATGTGTCATAGTTTCCCGAAAGCTGCCCAGCCGAGTTGAATCCGTCGATTGACCTCTCGGTCGAAGTTTTTTACAGTGGTAGAGCTACGCGGCAGATTTTGCTGTCGCACGGATGGGCCAGCTCGAACCGGGGTGGTACCACGACCTCACAGAATACCAGCGTGAAGTAGAGGTTTACCTCTGCGTTGCGCTTGGTGAGTGCAGGTGGCCGGAGGCCCTTTTTACTGGAAATGAGGCATTCCATCTTAGTCCTCACGGGTGACAATGCATCTACATTTTGATTCGTAATAGAGGATAGATGTAGATGTCTATGGGCCGCAGCAACCACTTACCATCAGGTGGACTGTATGCTCGTTTGTCACCCTTATCCTATAAAAAAAAAACAAAAAAAAAAGTTGGACTAACCTAGTCGGACTATTTGTCCCAAGTAAACATACTCGTCAACAACTTCGAGCTTAGTGCTCCCAACAACTATCGGCATAGGTGTGACATGGACGTCAAACATGATCCTTGTTTTGTCCACGTTCATCTTAAGACCTATCCGTTGGGAGACACTATTGAGGTCATTAAGCATAGTGCTTAGGTCCTCCAGCGATTCTGCCATAAGGACTATATCGTCGGCAAATCGAAGGTGAGTGATGTACTCGCCATTGATGTTAATACCGCATCCTTTCCAGTCCAGTAGCATGAAAACGTCTTCCAATGCAGCGGTGAAGAATTTCGGGGATATAACGTCACCCTGTCTTACACCTCTCTGTAGTTGGATAGGTTTCGTACTCTGTAGTAGTATAGTGTCTATAGTGTCAATTTACATCAACACATCGCTGCATCCGATTGATCCACTGAGAAAAGCACGTTGCCCACTCGTCCTTAGCGGTCTCTTCGACGGCATTTTGAAACGCAGTCACTGCTTCCTCGGCGTCCATAAAACGTTTTTCTCGAAGTCTTTTATTTTCGGAAATAAATAAAAATCGCAAGGTGCGAGGTCGGGGCTATAGGGCGGGTGACCCAGTAATTCCAAGTCTGACGTCGCCAAGTAGTCAATTGTTTGCTTGGTGGTGTACGACGAGGCGTTATCGTGGTGAAGGAGGATCCTACTGCGAGGTCATTTCTTCGGATCTTTTTCCAAGACAAGTGGCTAACAATTGTTAGTGTATTACTCTGCAGTAACTGTTTTTCGATCCTCTTAAACAATTGTTGCGTAATGACTTGTCCTTCCGAAGAACGCGGCCACCAACTTTTTTCCCACGCTTCGATCTCTCTTCACTTTAGTTGGCAACTCCTCGGAAGGAAACACCCAGACAGCAGACCGACTCTTAGTTTCAGGATCATAACAATAAATCCAACTTTCGTCAGCCGTAAGTATATCGAACACAACCTTTGAGTCACCTCCGTTAAATCTTTGAACCATTTAACGACACCAATCAACACGACGGAGTTTTGCGTCAAATTATGAGGTATCCACCGGGCACAAAGTTTCCTGACCACTAAATGTTCATGGAGGACTTTGTGCACTTGACTCATACCGATGCCTAAGCTTGTCCGAATGTGCTGATAAGTCACTCTTTTGTTCATCTCTATCATACGCCGCACAACATTGATGTTATCTTCAGTCGTCGCCGTAGTAGGCCGTCCCTCACGCAGATCATCGGTGAGATTAGTGCGACCACGTTTAAACTCATTAAACCAGTTGTAAACAGTGACACGAGATGGGGCTTCATCGTGAAAGGCCAATTAAAGTCTGCAGACTTAAATTGTCATTATAAAAATTCATTGTACGAAAATTATCTCGCGTTAAATTCATGCTGACGTGACACAGACAAAATTTTCAATTTGCCGCCAAATCGTAAACAAATGACAAATTAATAAAATACATACACAATAATATTGGCAAAGAGTTCCATTTTCAAAATTTGAACTTATTTTTTTATTATGTCGTTTACAAGTGGTCAGTTCTAAAAGCTTTTAGTGCCGCCTCGTAGGTTCGATTTTACTCAAAAACAGTCGTAAGTCGCCGTGTTCGGTAACATGCAAACGATTTCTTTTTATAGTAAGCAGCGTTGTCACAGCGCTAAATCCACGTTCACACAAATATGACTATGGGAATGCTATCAAAAATCGTTAAACGATCGACCACAATCCAGGGTACAACTGCGGGATTGACTATTGTAGCCATAATTCTTGGTAGCCATTTTTATATGTAAGTTCTTCTTCCAGTAGGCGTGATACTGCTATCTTGATATTTGAAAATGGTTGTAACACCCAGTCTGGTATATCCAATTTCAATCTTTCTGGAATCTTTCAATTAAATCACTCTAGAGATTTTCCAAATGTTGGCAGTAGACAAAAGCAAGTCGTCGTTGTTGCAGGATACTGATAAATTGGAAAAATTATGGAACTCACGTCTGCCGATATTCTTCTTGTGTAAGAGCAGCGACGAAATTTTTGTTTTTATTAAGTTCAAGTCATCGCCTTGAAGTTGGAGATTCATATCATTAAGCAATTTTTAAAGGTCTATCAGGTATGCGATATCATTCTTTGATGTGATGAGGTTGTCGCGCAATTCTGTGTCTTTGTTTTCCAAGAACTGTACGACAGAGTCAAACAGATTGTAAAATCGAGTCAGACAATTTCCTTTTGATAGCCAACGCACTTCTGTGTGAAAGTTCAATAGGTTGAAATCTTCATCATTAGTAACACAAAGCTGATTAAATAATTTGTCATTTAAAGAGTTGTTTCGGATTTTCTACCGACTTCAAAAAGGAGGGGATACTCAATTCGACTGTATGTTCTTTTTATGTGTTGTTACCTCATAACTTTTTTCTGGGTGAACTGATTTCGATGATTCTTTTTTTATTAGAAAACTGGTGCTTCTCATATTATTTGACCAAGGTCTGACTAATAGTTTTTGAGTATTCTTAATATTTTATATTGAAGTCGGTTGTACAAAATTTTAATTTTAAATTATTTTATGTACAGACACTTACATTTTTTTTGATTAATGAATAGAATAGAATAGAATGAATTTTATTGATTATTACATAATACTTATTGAAAGTCAATTTTTTATTTACCACTGGTTCGGAAAATACCTCTGTCCTGGGATGAACCAGTAAGAAACCCAGCGGGACTTTTTTTTAAACATAATTTCACTTAACAATAATTTCGTTTATTCAATTTTAAATGTTTTTTCATAGAACCAGCATGGTGGCGATCACCTTATTCCCAGGGGTTATTTTCATTCATGTATTCCTTGATATTATAATAACCCTTTTTGTACAGTTTTTCTTTAATAAAACTTTTAAACTTGTTTATTGACAAACTTTGAACATGTTCTGGGATTTTGTTGTAAAAGCGTATACATTGCCCCATAAATGAATCACTAATTATGTGAAGTCTAGTAACTGGCATTACAAGCTTATATTTCTTCCTAGTGTTTAAGGTATGAACATCCTTATTCTTATTAAAGCTATTTATGTTTTTATGTACATACATTACATTTTCATAAATATATTGAGATGCCAAAGTTAATATGTTTATTTCTTTAAATTTTTGTCTGAGGGACTTTTTACAATTAAGGTTATAAATCGCCCATACGGCTCTCTTTTGCATTTTTGCAATGCTGAGTCATTAATCAAAAAACATGTAGTAAAGCAAAAAGAAATATAGTAGGGGAGGAATTCACTGTTCTTTGCAGTCAAATTCGGAATTTCTGTAAAAAAAAAATCTCAAAAGCCGCTGAAACATCTTTAAGAGAACCCACTGCCATCATTCCTCGGGTGTCATAAGAAGCGACAGAGAGTAACTGAAACGAAAGATGGGCAAGCAGCAAGAAGCAGAAAATAATACAAAACTGCCGTTGCCAAACTGCCTGCTAAACTTGGCAACTACGACATATATCCCCCTTATGAAGCAAAAAGAAATTTATAGGGAAGCTCATATTGAGCTGTGCACTCTGGTAGGCTGTAATCATAATGATAATATTCCAAAATATACTTAACGTACTTAACTTAAATATAATTACTTTACTTACTTTAGACGTGGTAGAGTCATGCTGCAGCTATATTAGTGGTATAGTTGTAGCACGAATGGGTCGGCTCGACCGGGGAAGGACCACGCTCTCACAGAATACCAGCGTAAAATAGCAGCTTAACGCTGCTGTGTTTCGTATGGTGAGTGTAGAGAACCGGGGACCCTTTATACTGGAAACAAGGCATTCCATCTTAGTCCTCACGGATGACAACGCATCTGCATTTTGATTTGTAATAGAGGATAGGTGTAGATGTCTATGGACTACAGCAACCAATTACCATCAGGTGGATTGTATGCTCGTTTGTCACCCTTATCCTATAAAAAAAACAATATGTTTGGCATATGTCCACTCCACACAAATTAACTGGTAAGTGTGAGGTTGGTGTGAACTTCAAAACTTCTTCAT